ATGGAGGATGATCTCAACTTTTTCTATGCTTCGACTACCATCACCGTGGGGGACGGAGCCAATACGCCATTTTTGGATTCCCTTGGCTTCTAGGGCGCAAACCGAAGGGTATTGCACCACTAATTTATGAGGCTTCGTGGAGAAAGAACTCGAAGGTGAGTGAGGATCTCAAAGGAAACATGGATTATCAAAATCAACTAGAACACTGTCGTCTCCGGTGAACACATTTGGGAATTTTTCACTCTTTGGATGCTTGTGAATGACTTCCATCTTGATGAGAAACTCGATGGTGATATTATTTGGAAGCACTCAAATTACGGGATCTACATGGCGGCCACCGCATATAAGGCTCAGTTTCTTGGATTAAATCTTTCCTCCATGGACCGCATGGTTTGGAAAGTGTCGGCTCCCCCGAAGGTTTTTTTTTTGCATTATTGGCTCTCCAAAATAGGATTTGGACCGCCGATCACCTGGAGAGGCGGGGTTGGGCAAATTGTGACCTATGCCCTCTTTGCAAAAGGTAGATGCACATCTCTTCTTCATGTGTCTCTACACACTTAGGCTTTGGAGGTCAGTCATTGCCAAGCTTAGCCTAGCTCACGTGGACACCACTGATTGGCACCTTGACCATTCCGTCCACGGATGGTGGGACAAGAGAACCGGCAATCACGTCCCAAACAGGAGCTTTATAACCTCCCCCGCCATTCTTGTTTCTCATACCATTTGGAATGAGCTTTTTTTGTGAAATCGATATTTTGATCGGACTGATGATTTGAGCTACAAAGTATTTTGAAGTTTTGAAATAGGGAGAATGCATGATGACATCGGTGTTTTGTCCTCTAATCTGCGCATGCATGTGCACGTGGGGAGAATGGTTAGAGGACCATGTTTATGCCTGGTAATTTATATGAAAACAACATAGTAATTAATGTGCCACAGAGATTATAACTTGCGTAGCTCAGGCTTGGTAGCGTTTTACCTCCAAAAAATGTTGTCGAAACATACCAATATGAGATATAGTTTCGAATGTCTCGTCATGATGAACATATTTTGTGAAAACGATTTTTCAATCGGGCCGACCATTTGAGCTACAAAATATTTTAAAGTTTCAAAATAAAGAGAATCTAAGATGACATCAGCATTTTGTCCTCTAATGCATCCACGTCTATGTGAGGAGAAAGATTTTTTTTAGCAAAAGAGGGTTTCCTCTCCGATTTCTATTAAAGAAACCAGGGAACGAGTACATGTAGAAGAGTTCAGGTACAAAATAACACCATCAAACCACCTCCTACTACTGTTCTTATAGCATACAATATCACGCTAAAACGACGCCTACTAAAAGGTATCTGGGGCCCTAAAGAAAGATCTAAGTAGACGCCTTCCATCAGCATCCTCCGTCAAATCTTTAGTCACATCACTCCAAAATGCCACCCCTGAGTAGCACGATAAATCTCACTTGCCACCTACTTTATGAGTCTTGCTCCCAACATCAGCATTTTTTCTATGGATCCTTTGTCTACAAAACAGCCCAATCAGAAATCCAATTGCACATCGTTTTTATGATTCCCATCGGGTCATTAATTTTTTCTATAAAAATGATACCATTTCTACAAATCTAAATCGCCCAGCGTAGGGCTGAAGTACCGGTCAATACAAGTTTCTTATCAATTTTCAGGAATCTACCAAGCCAGCTACAAAAACTTTCTTCTAGATTGCCGGGGATTTGCTTTAGATCAAAATCACACCCAATTAAACTCCATACTAACCTAGCAACCGAGCAGGAGAAGAAGAGATGATCAATGGTCTCTTTCTTCCCACAAAAAAACACAATGTTTCTCACCTTTCCACCCTCTTTTTAACAGATTATATTTTCTCAGAATGCTCTTCTTATTAAGCAGCCACAGAAGAAAATTTATTTTGCTGGAACTTTCGTTTTCTAGAGGAACTTTTGAGGGAAGCCAGCATTAGTTTTAATGAGATAGAGATATAAAGATTTAATAGTCAATTTCTTATCAGCAGTTAACATCCACATAGGCCTATGTCTGCCTCCATACATTAGAACCTCCTCACATATGTCCTTCAACCTCATCCATAAATTTCCAAACTCTCCAAACAGAGATCTACTAAAAGAAAATTGTCCCCACCCTTTATCAATAGCATCTCTAACAGAAATGCCATGGTCATTGTTAATAAAATACAAAGGAGGATAAGCATCCTTACGAGGTTTATTCCCCATCCACCAATCTTCCTAGAATCTTGTATTTTTTTCCACCCCCTAGCTTCTTCTTGATGTGGAGATATAAGAAATTTTTAATTTTGATGAGACTAGACCATTTTTCATGCCCGGTAATCACTATGAGACCAGTTTGTTAACTTGTGTGTCACGGACGTGATAACTTACGTAGTTCAGGCCTGATAACTTTTTACCCAAAAAATAAAGTCGTCGGAATATACCAACATGGGATCTAGTTTCGAAGGTCTTGTTGCGACGAAAATTTTATATGAAAATGATTTTTTCAATCGGACCGACGATTTGAGCTACAGAACATTTTAAAGTTTCAAAATAAATAGAATCTAGGATGACATCAGTGTTTTGTCCTTTAGTGCATGCATGTCTGTAATTAGAGGTCCTTAGAGAGAGTACTCCCCATGCGAGAGAAGGGTTCATTCTAATGCATGTATGCATGTAATTAGAGGGGGAGGAAGGCGTTCGTATCTATTGCTTAAAAACAGAACAGTCAGAATTTAGTCAATCCCTAAGTTATATAGTTTGAGAAATACGAAAAAGAAAATATATAAAAAAGTATGTGTTTGCACCTGTCATGGTGCTCTCTCACAACTTTTCCCAGTTCTTAACCGACGAACAAACTAACTGATAGAATCCCTAACTGAAACTACCGACGAATCTGAAATTCTGAACCTGCAGCTGGTTAACTTACACAAGCGTGATGGTTTGCTTCAAATTTTGCCTTTGCTTATTGAGGTGCATTAGGATCTTCACGTATTGCATAAGTAAGATTATTGGTTAATACCGTTGCAACTATTTGTGATACTAAGAAGTTTTAGATCACTTTTCCCATTGACAGGTGAAGAGGTTTAGTGTTGATGCTGGTTTGGTGAGATAGTTTCACACCACTTATCAACAGAGGTAGAGGCTATGGTGCTATCATTGTGGAATGGAAAGGTAAGGCACAAGTTTGTATGGAGCACACACACGCACACGCACGCACGCGTGCACACACACACACACACACACACACACACACACACACACACACACACACACACACACACAAAGTCATTGTTGAGATGTCAAATATTGGTAGGCAAATAGGGTATGCGCTGGCAAAAATATTTTCATGTGTGCCCATTGACCTGTCAACGTTCTAGTTATTCTAGACCCGACGAGGATCCTTTTGATCTTAAGTCACCACGTCCATTGCTTTCTCCTTTTTTAAAATCTTTTTCTCACCAAGTCTAAACACATGGCCTAGCAAAGTGGCCCATGTAAACATACCCATGCAACTTTATTATGGACGGTGACAAAACTTCATCGAAGAGGGAGAATGTAGGATGACATGAGTGTTTTGTCCTCTAATCCATGCATGCATGTGCACTTGGGGAGAATGGTTGGAGGACCATGTTTATGCCTCGTAATGTATATCAAAACAACATCGTAACTTATGTGCTACAGATATGATAACTTACGTAGCTTAGGGCTGGTAACTTTTTACCTGAAAAAAACATTGTTGAAACATATCAACAGGGGATCTAGTTTTTAAGGTCTCGTCGCGACGCACATTTTATGTGAAAACAATTTTTCAACCAGGCCAACAGTTTGAGCTACAAAATATTTTAAAGTCTTGAAACAAAGAGAATCTAGGATGACATCAGCGTCTTGTCCTCTAGTGCATCCATGTGCACGTGAGGAGAAAGGTTGGAAGACCGTTTTTCATGCCCGGTAATTTCTATGAACAGTTTGGTAACTTATGTGTCATGGACGTGATAACTTACGTAGCTCAGGCCTGATAACTTTTTGCCTGAAAAAAAAATCATCGGAACATACCAACATGGGATCTAGTTTCGAGGGTCTCGTCACGACGAACATTTTATGTGAAAATGATTTTCAATCGGACCGATGGTTTGAACTATAAAACATTTTAAAATTTTAAAATAAAGAGAATTTAGGATGTCATCAGCATTTTGTCCTCTGGTGTATGCATGCCTGTAATTAGAGGTAATTAGAGAGAGTACTCCACGTGAGAGAAGGGGGTTTCATTCTAATGCATGTATGCATGTAATTAGAGGGGGAGGAAGGCGTTCGTATCTATTGCTCAAAAACAGAATAGATGGAAGTTAGTCGATCTCTAAGTTATATAGTTTGAGAAATACAAAAAAGAAAATATCAAAAAAAAGTATGTGTTTGCACCTGGCATGGTGCTCACTCACAACTTTTCCCAGTTCTTAACTGACGAAGAAACTACCTGACGAAACTTGAAACTCTGAACCTGCAGCTCGTTAACTAAGATTATTGGTTAATACCGTTGCAACTATTTGTGATAGTAAGAAGTTTTAGATCAGTTTTCCCATTGACATGTGAAGAGGTTTAGTGTTGACGCTGGTTCGGTCTTCATTGAGATAGTTTCATGGAAATGTAAGGGACAAGTTTGTATGGAGAACACACACGCACACACATAAAGTCATTGTTGAGATGTCAAATATTGGTGGCAAATAGTGTATGCGCCGGCAAAAATATTTTCATGCAGTAGTTATTCTAGACCCGACGAGGATCCTTTTGAACTTGAGGGCCCCTGGCCTATCAGGGTTGTACAAATGGGGGCGCAGAAAGTAAGCTTTCCGGTTCACTAAGAACCATCATAATAATTTGCAAAAAGCAGAATAAGGAGGAATCTTAAGTTAAGTAGCCACGCAAACAACAAGGCGAAGACGAAACATTGGGCCGTAATTTCGGTGGTGAGTCGAACGGTCGATCCCAAACGTTATGCCAAAACACGACTAGGAGGAGTATTGGGTCTGTGGTAGGCAATAACCGCATAGATGGACTGCACCATTTGGGAGACAAAGACGAGGATGGCGATGAAGAACACCACGCGGTAGAAGATATTACCGCAGTACTTCTCGCGGAAGAAGCCCTTGAAGTTGTGCGCCGGGACGCCGCAGCGCTTCTCCACGGCGTGCCATATGGGCTTGAGGTAGTTCCGCTGGAGGTTGTGGATGTCCAGGGCCATGCCGTGGCACAGACAGGCAAAGCCCTGTGCGGCCGACTCGTCGCTGCCCAGGAAATGCTCGACAACCATGGCGCTCCGCAGGAGCCCCACGTCCTCCGCCGTGCATGCCACCTGCGACATGAAGTAGCAGTAGGCCGTGACGGGCCTGGCCTCCTGCTGCTCCTCCAGAGCCATCAGGTTCCGCAGGACCGTCCACGTGTTGCTGTCCACGCGTAGGAGAGGGATCCGCAGGTTTCCTCCGTCGAGCTCCACGTCGAGGATGCTCCACTCCTCGCCGGCGCCGAAGGCCCGGCGCTTGAACAGCAGGTTGGCGTACCTGCGGTACTCGGTCGCCCGGCGCCATGGGCCCGTTAGAAGGCCTGATGTCCGCTCCTGCGGCTGCGGCTGCTGCTGCTGCTGCTGCTGCAGCGGCGACGCCATGTAGCAGTACACCAGGCCGAGCAGGTGGACAGACGTCGACGGCGCCTCCCGCGGCGTCTTGCTGATGTACAGCTGCCTCTGCAGCAGCTCTTCGACGGGCCTCGCGATGCACTCCACAGCGGATGTCACTTCCCCTGGTGCTCTCATGTAATTCAGGATCTCGTTGATGACAAACAGAGGTATCTGGTTCTCAAGGAGGTACAGGATGTCCCGCACCACAGTGTTGTCTCTGTACACTATGCTCCGACTGCTGGGTGATCCGGTCGCCTCCTCACGCTGGTAGCAGTCTACAAAGAGGCTAACCAGATAACACCCATCAAGCAGCAGCATACGGGAGAACTTTGCTGAGTCGCCGGCGTGGTCGTCCGGCTCCGGCAGATGGGTGTAGTATCCCCTCGCTCTGTACTGCACTCTATCCATGACCCGCTCCAGACCGGAGAGGTTAACCACGCTTACTAGATCGCGGACGGCCCTCTTCTTCGCTTCCGTCCACTGCCAAGAATCTGCGCTTTCATGGTAAGGACCGATGGGTACGGCGTACGGCGTGAACAGGTCGGCCGCGACGCGCCGGAGGTTCGCACGGACCTTGGGGATCACCCCATCCCCTGAAGAATGCAGCTCATTTTGCACATTGATAACCACTGAAGGACCTGCATCTGCATGCCAAACACGTACCACTGAAGCTGAAGGAAATCTAGGGATGCAATCGCTAAAACACCACGTGTCAGCATAATAATCGCTTAAAAATATATATACTTCCAGAAATGGCGTCTTTATTAAACCCAACGTTTACATCAACAAGATACAACACCATTAAGATTTTTTAACCACATAATAATTTGTAAATGAGAGCCATAGCTACTTCCTGTAGATCTATACCGCTCCAGGTCGTTTTCTGCCTCAGGAACTAGGGATTTCTATTGGTTTCTTTTAATTATATGAAATGAAATCGGGGGCATGGCCCTTCAATTCGAAAAAACAAACTTGAGGGATTTCCTCGGTACAAAACTCACCGAGAGAGAAATTTCCTTCCTCATATGCCAGAACAACCATATGTAATAATTTGTTATATAAGCTTTAAGTTTGGTGGCCCTTAATTGTGTCCTCATCCGGCCCAAGAATGTGGATGTGCTTTGTCCTATGACGGCCATTAGCCATTGTATATGAAAGTACTTCTACTTTGTGTTTCTCTAAATGTTCTAGGTCATTAATGATATCTGAAAGTCTATGTTTTTTTTATAAACTCCGGTAGTATTAAGCGTCCATCACCTCAGCTGTTGACGCAGCGGTTCTAGTATTCCAGCATTCACTAGGGCTTCGCCCAGCCACCAGCCTATTCCAAACAATTTTTAACTAGGTCCTCAAAACCGTGACGGTACGTCCATCTCAATTCGAATTGAATTGGTGTTTGCATCCATGAGGCATTGTGACCCCTGCGTCAAGAAGGAGTGCATCACAATTGAAGCATGCCTCAATACGCTCAAGAGCTCAAACTAGGACCAAAGTGTATTCAGCCTCCCATTCGGTAAATCAGTACACGATCAAATTTCTCACATGTTGTGAGTCTAAGATTATTTGCCCATGTGAACTACCTTCCTCACATTCTTACCTCTCTTAAGTACTAAGCTATCAATGACAGTATTAAATAAGAAAGACTAGTGAGTGTAAAATTGGTCATTTTTACATGCTAATCTCAGGATATTAAATTCCCCACCTGTAAGGATAGATATGGATTATCTTTTGCAAGATTTTATCGAAAAATATATTTTGCAAGATTGAGCAAATTTCGAAGAAAATCTGTTATATGCTCATTTATGGGCAGCATCATACACAACAACTTAGCTACAACTGAGGTTCTCAGCCTTATTTCAAATATGAAATTTAATATGAAACTTTCCATTCAAAAAGGTCAACCGATCCATGGAGCAAGTTTTAATGCTAAGTACTCCCTCCGTTCCTAAATATTTGTCTTTCTAGACATTTCAAATGACTACTACATACGGATGTATGTAGACATATTTTAGAGTGTAGATTCACTCATTTTGCTCCGTATGTAGTCACTTGTTGAAATGCCTAGAAAGACAAGTATTTAGGAACGGAGAGAGTAAATGCCGCCCAATCTACTACACGGAGGTAGGTAGTGCCAGCTGAAGTCGTAACCACCTGAGAGGTGATCAAGGACATGCACGGGAAAGTCGTGTCGACGAGTTTTTTCACCGCGACAAAGTGCAAACCATATCTCAAAGGTAATCAGCGATACTCGAGCATGTTTAACCAAGTCTCTGAGACCTCTACTATCCCATATCATGCTATTCATGGGAAACATGCATTGATTTGGATAACATCACCTTTTAGACGGCTTTTGATTCTTTTTTGAGTAGTGGGATTGAGATTTACGGTTAATTAGAAATCATGACATCACATATGGATCCAATCATACCTAGCTTCATCCAAACCGACCTCTCACACTACTCCAATAAGATGAGCGAGACCGTCAGATGCGGCATCCACTTCTACATCGAAGGTGGTAGGTTTTTTTTTCTATTTGTAACCTTGGGAAAAACCTTAAACGGGCTAATCCCCACATGTTTGAGTGCCTTAAAAGACACATGTATACCATTATCATTCTTTCCTAATACTACACCTAGTGATTGAAGAACAGAATAAATACATGAACTAGGAAAATCAGTAATTTTTTTGGATGATGGTGTACCTTCTGAGTAGTCTAGGTTGTGTGAAGCTTGACGCTGCATTGTGGAGTCCTCATCTGTGGATGTCGAGTCATCAGCGGCAACCGGATGACTCCCACTATGCCACAAAGACATTGGTGTAGGAGTCAGGGAGGCTGGCGCTATAATCCCGAACGACGAGACCACCGAGGGTGGTGATGTCGGCGTTAACGCCATCCCCAAAGACCCAACCACTGTCGGCGAGCCATTCGTTGAGCGAGTCACAGCTTGTGGTTCAGCCAACCCTGTAGAATGGCTAGGCGGGCTCTGCAGTGGGTGCACCAACGTGGACTGGATCGGCAGCCCAAGCTCCTCTGAGGCCATTGGTGTTGCAAACTCCATCCGGGCTGAATGAGGAGGTGGAGTAGACAGCCCGCTCTCCGGAGTGAGTTGACTTGGCGACGACGGCGGGGAGGCGTCCATCCTTTACTATCCCATGATCCGCAATGTCCACATTTATTTTTTTGATAATAAACACAACAAATCCTATGTCAACATCCCTGGACAGATAACATTGCATGGGTAGAAAAATAATAACTGGTGTGCATGCATTTGAGATCCCGACTACTCCCTCTGTTCGCAAATATATCTCTTTTTAGAGATTCTTATATGGACTACATACGGAGCAAAATAAATGAATCTACACTCTCAAATGCGTTTTGTATGTTGTCTATATTTAAATCTCTAAAAAAGACTTGTATTTTGGAACGGAGGGAGTACTTTTTGTGTAAATCAGAGTATGTAAATTTCATGTGAAATTTCCATGTTATATACACATGAAAAAAGTTTGAGGTTCCTCTTAAAATTATCCACCACTCAATTTTGCTTCACTAGATCTCGCTCTGTATATCTTGCAGCTTAATCTTAGAAAACAGGAGAACACAAATGCAAAGGTGCCTAATGAGATTTCTGGTAAAAGGCTAATTAACTGCGCTAGAAACTCAACGTACACATAATCATAAGTTTACAAAATGCTCTATATATCCGGTGGACTGAAGAAAGAAAGTGATTTTTTTTTGAAGAATTGGGACAATATAGAGGATAAAATCGAACTGAACCGGATTACATTTACTTCATTCATACCTGGCGGCGTCGCAAGGGGCGCTGCTGGCACTTGAAAGCTAAGATGTTCAAGTGGATGTTCCCCTCTTCACTACGTACTAATGTGGTTCGTTGCGAGGCTAGCTCTCTCTCTCTATATATATATGGCACCAGATTTACATGTTCATCGTCCATCGTGCCCCTAGGTCCCGTGGTGGTGCATGTGCGAGCAGGATAGAGCTAGGAAACAGCACGGCGCGCGCGGGCGAGACGAACGACAAGATTATCAGACACACTGGCCAGGCACGGGCTTTTCTTCCGTTCGCTTGTGGCTGGCCGGCCGGTTAAGAAAAGTTTTTTGCTCCTTTGCCAACGGTCCCCATGCATGCAAGGAGCATCATACCTTTCCCGCTGGTCTATTTTCTTCTGCCCACATTCACTACACGGGATTATTATTTTTAATTATATTGAGACTAACAAGTAACAAATCAGTAAGGTTATACATCATGGAAGATATTGCTCGTGCAAATTTTAGTGGCGTAGATGGAAATATGACCGTTGGGAAGAGCTGCTACTGCGACCGTCCCGCCCCGAAAATGATACACCTACGGACGTTTCTCACGGAAAGAATCGTACAGGCGTACGTGTTCTATTGTAATTCATCCACCCCCCGCTGAATTTCAGGATGGGGCCCTCCTTCCCCCAACCAATTGATGGCAGCTCGGTCCGTAGGCATAAGTCTGTAGAAAAATGCCCGTAGCTGTAGCATTGTTAGTCCCGCCCTACCCCTTCCCCACCTTTGTCGGAGAAGCGCAGGCGACGACGCTCTAACTCTGACCGGTATACTTGCCCTCACCCTGCTGACTATGCTCTACGGCTCCATGCTGCTTTTCCTCGGCAAGCAGTTTTTTTTTTCAAACAAAGGCAAAAGATTTGTCTCATTCATTAATTAAGCAGAAAAAAATTGCCCAGTTAATCAACGGAAAACCAGGAAAAATCGTCACAAACCTCTAAACGGCACATGCAAATATCCCACATACACCTTTACAAAGAGTGCCTCGTCAAGCTAGCACGCGTCATCGTCATCGCTTCTTCCCAAACAGGTGTCATCGCCATCCCTAATCCCCAAGCGACTTCGACTTCGCCATGAACGAACATCGATGTCGAACCAACACACAACATAGAGGCCATATAGGAATACATGAAAATCCATGCCAGAACTCAGCCACCCGCATCGAGGCGACGCAGCTCTGACTCTGAAGAAAAGATCCAAAGAAGACCTATGCAAGACCGGCGTCGTGGAAGACCACCGAACGGACCACCTACTGCATGTCATTGTTGCCACATGGGCCCGCTGCCGCAACTTCGACTTCACCACGATAACCAAACTGAGGTAATCCCACAAACACGCCGAAGAAGAGCCCACTACCACTGCAATGCCTCCGATTTCACAAGCCCCATCATCGTTGCCATAGAAGCCATGATGCCGCAGCAACGCCTACCACCAACCTCCCAACACACCAACTGGTCCCTCTGGCTGGATTGAACTCCAAAATCGATGCCCCCGAGAGGGAAACGACACCAACACGGCGCCAACGACCGACCCTTGGGGTCTAGGGTTTCCCTGGAGCTGTCCCTCGCAGAGGAAGAGAGAGCATCCCGCAGACGCCTTCAAGAAGGTTACGGCATCCATGGACGCCGCCATCACAGGCTCCGGCCATGGCTAGAGACGGATTTTCACCCAGCCATCGTAATCCTCCAGTCGATAGCCAATCCGGCAGCCCACCTTCCTTCGCTACATCTCCACACGTCCTCCACCTCGACAGCACAAAACTGCGACCTCATCACCATCAGGAAGAGACGCCTCGTCTGCAGGTTGTTGCCTAGAGCCGCCACCAGGCCGGACTTGATGCAGAGAGGCCGAAGGAGTCCGCCCCAAGCCTCCAGTCCAAGATGCGCGCCCTACCGCATCCGCATCGCGCCTCACCAGCGCCCCGACCAGAGCGCTTGAACCACGCCAACGCGCACTGCACAACGTTGCCACACCATGCGCCGCAGCGCCTTGCCACATCGCGTGATCATCGCGGCAACCCCTGCAGATCAGCATGCACCGTGCCATGGCGTCTCCATCGCGGCCTCGAGTGACCGCGCCGCCCCTTGCCGTCATCAGATCGACGATCCCCTTTTCGTCGCCCCCGAGGGAATGCCAGATCCCGCTCCGCTCGAGGTTGCCATGAGCTAACCGACGTGCCGCCGCTCCGCTCGGACCACCGGAGCCGCGTTAGCCCGCGCCGGAACCAGGCCAGCCCGTGCCGGAGCCACGACTGCGCACCCGTCCAAGTCCGCCGCAGCAGCACGCTAGATGCGCCCTTGCACCCTGCGGAGAGATGCCCCGCCACCACCCTCCCTGGAGCCTGACTGGGCTTCGCCAGTGGCCTCCTCAAGCGGGGGTGAGGCGAGGGGTGGAGGGAGGTGGGAAGGAGGCGGTGGCGGAGGGGTTCCCCCGTGTCGCCAGCTAGAGGCGACGGGCGTGCGTGCGGGGAGGGGGTGGGTGAGAGGGGGCTCCTTGGCATATAGTGAGGGGGGGAGGGGGCTCCTTGGCATGCAGTGAAGGCACCCTCAACAGCTAAATCTAGAGGCACCGATTTGGGTCTACGAATAGACCTCGGTCCCCGTCTTAGGCCCTGTTTGGTTTCTAAATCATATGACTTTTTTTAGTCCCAACTTATAAGTCTTAAGTCCCTAAAAAGTCCCTACCTGTTTGGTTCCTGAGACTTAACATGAACTAAAAGATCATATTACAACTATAAGTCCCTATAAGTCCCTCCCGGCCCGTTTGGTTTAGATGGGACTTATAAAGATTTTTTTAAGTCCCTGGAAACAAACACCCTCTTAGTCACCACAGGGCAATGATGCATGTGATGATAGAGCGGGAGAGTACATTCTCTAGGCCGCAGAATTATTTTATTTAATATTGTATTGGCAGTGTCTTGAACTTAAGACCTCTTGACTCAGATACCATTAAATTCATGCTCTAGCCAACTCATCCAAATGTCTGAACTTATGAAGGGAGGCGGGCAATATATTTCAACATCCTCGACACCGCTCCCACGGAGTGCGACCATATCAACATGGTGATGGCAAGATGGAGTCACACTAGATCCACTTCTCCAGTGGCTGGAATGGTGGCGCCTGCTGATGCCAAGGTTATTCTAGTTGCTTTCGGAGTTAGTTTGGTGAACCACGGAGAGCTGAGAAAAATGATCATTTGCTTCTTGTTCGGGTTTATTGAAGAGTGCTTGAAATTAATCTTAAATTCCAAGCAAAAGAGTCGTGAAAGTCACTTGTTTGTGATGATATTTGAGAGGAAAACCGAATTAATTAACAGCAACAGAGAACAAAGTAATGAAAAATAATGAAAACCGCAATTGGGCTAAAATTGTTCTTAGGAAGTCAGGGTTCCCGCTAGCGTATATTATAAGTATAAAGATAGGGTCCCGATAACTGCCACACGTGTGGTGTATCGGATAGTTGTGCCACACGCCTTGTGTGGCATGGACATCAATCAGCCCACACACCTACGTGTGGGCAAAACAACTAATGCCCACACACATTTTTTTCCTCCTGAACCCTCTCACACGCGTGCGTGTGGGCGAAGTTGATAACACCCACACGCCCGTATGTCAGGCCTCGTACCCTTCTGGTCCCGCACGCGACGCGTGACGCCCATCGCGCGCCCGTAGTTGCCATGGTCCAGACCCTCGTCCATGTTCATTTATCTGCAGTTGCCATGTCGCTAAACTACGGTTGCCATGTCGGACAACTGCAGTTGCCATGGTTGCTCAACTGCAGTTGCCATGTATGGTCTGATCTAATGTAGTTGCCATAATTTCACAACTTTAGGAGTTGCCACATACTAACACTAGGCAGTTGAGAGAGTTGCCATGTGCTCACAAGCATGCTAGGACAGTTGCCATATAAAAAGGAAGAGTTGCCATCTGCTTACGTGCACGTTAGGGCAGTTGCCATGTACGTGCACGTTGGGGCGGTTGACATGTACCATGCAAAAACACATGGCAACTCGGTAAAAGACAGTTGCCATCTGCTTACGTGCACACTAGGCAGTTGTCGTGTACCCTGCAAAAACACATGGCAACTCGGGTAAAAAAAGAGAGTTGACACCTGCTTATAAAGCACACTAGAGGCAGTTGCCATGTGCGCTGCAAAAACACATGGCAACTAGCAGCTTACGTGTGGGAGAGGAGACGGGCGTGTGGGCGAGATGGCAAATGCCCACACACCAGCCCTTGTGCGTGACTGAAAACTGGTGTGTGGGTGAACTGCTAAACGCCCACACGCCGGCCCCTCCGTGTGGTAAAACG